AGAACCTAAGACTGGCCAGTGCCAGGAAAGGGCTGGAGTACGTGACAGGGGAGGGTCCCTTCCGGTTTGGGAGGTGGGTGGAGGGTCAAGGAACGCTTCCCAGCAGGGGCACTGAGGCAGGCCTTGAAGGATACCGAGCATGTGTGTCTTACACCCTGCAGGAGCTTACTCAATACAACACAAAATTAACGGAGCTGATGACGCAGATGACATTTAAAAACAAACCCTAAATGATGCACACCACATGCGCGACAATACTCCCGCTACATTTCAAAATCCACTTTATTCTAGTTTCTGACTTCAGGTTTGGCTGTGTACGTTCCTAACAATACCAAAATAGGTCATGGAGGCCAAAATCTAAAATTTTGTCTCTTCCTATGATAAACATCTTTTATTGTCGTGTCTCAGTGTGCAAAAACACAATAAATCATGTTTGTAAAAACATACAGATCATTCTTGCTATGGATTCAGACAAAGTTACAACTAACAAAAATCTCCTAACAGAGGACAGTGAACACGCAGGTGGATTGATTCTGGGAACTGCAGGGACCCTGTACTCATTGTGAAGCCAAATAATCAACCTTGCTGATGACACACTTAAATTATTAAAACAATTAAGGCACGCTATCACTCAAAAGGTATAGGCAGAGCAACAATAATCTAGAGAAAATATAATTATTCTGCTGAATGTGGAATTGTACCATATTTATATTTTAATCAACACTGGTAAGACTCAGAATTATTACAGCACAAAAGACACTATTTTTCTGAAAAAGTAGACAGGGAGTGTGGTTATAGGAAGGTGGCTCAGGTTCAAGATTCAAGTGTATTTTTCTTTTAAATCTCTTCTGCACTAGATTCTAGGTTTTTTTTTGGTTTCAAAACTCGGTCTACAATCCACAAAAATACTAATGAATGTAGCACAAAGGCCTTAAAAAAAATCTGATTATACCAGCAGTTTGGTGACATATTGGTAGAGCTGTTCTGTAAACGCCTCAGGGGAAAATTTTTCCTTCACCCTGGCTCTTCCAGCCAGTCCCATGGTGGCTTTCAAGGAAGGTTCATGGATGAACTTTTCCATTGCTTCTGAGAAGTGCACTGGGTCTGGCTCACACAGAAACCCTGTGACGCCGTGGACGACAGACTCCAAGGGCCCGCCTGAATTAACAGCGATGACCGGGCACTGCATGTACATGGCCTCCAAAGGGACGAGGCCAAAGTGCTCGTTGCTCGGTGTGTAGAGCACACACGTGCAGCCTCGGAGCAGGGAGATTTTCCGTTTGTCTGAGCAAGACCGCAAGAAGGTCACGGACTGGCCAAGGTCAGACAGCTGGACCACTTTCTTCAATTCCTGATAGTGTTCCACGTTCTCCAGGACTCTCTCGTCATAACCGCCTGCCATGATCAGATGAACCTTGTCCCAAGCTTGGGATGTCAATCTTCCACGCAGCTGTACCAGGGCTTCCAGGGCCAGAGTCAGATTCTTCTTCCTTTCGTATCTGTTGATGGAGAGAAACAGGAATTGTTTTCCCTCAGGGACTAGGTCATCAAGCTTTTCAGGAACAGCTGAGTCAAAGCTGGTGACATTCAGAGATGGGTAGAGGACATCGGGGTTTATGTGAGACAGGGACTTGAACGTCTCCTTGAAAACAGCAGCTGTGAATTGGCTATTGACCACGATGCAGTCTGCCATGCCCGTGGTGTATTCCTCTACCCAGTCAATCGGGGCCCTGTACAGGCGTTTAAGAAAAGAATCTCTCCTGGTGAGAAGCAGATCCGGGAAGTGACAGTAGAAGAGGATCTTCTTGCGCCGTCTGGCCAGTTTGAACACTGGGATACAGGCAGACACCTGGCCAAAGCAAACATCAACAGCAGATAAAGTGACTCGTCAACTACACTTCAACCAAATCAAATCACAGACACCCACCCTGCCTGTGAGTCAGTGGGCTCCTCATGGGCAGTGTCTGATTCTGCTCTCTGTCCGCCACACTCTCACCCAGTACAATGCCTGGTGTATAGAAGGCTGGTAGACGTTTTCTCCGTGTGTGCTAAACATTTAAAGCTGCAAATCCAGTGGTTTCCTCCAGAATAGCACTGTCCAATGGAAATAAAAATCTAGTAATCGCATTAGCGTTTTTAATATATTTTACCTAAAATATTATATCAAAATGTAATCAACACTAAAAAAATTAATGAGATACTTTACATTCCTTTTTCCCATATTAAGTGTTTAAAATCAGGTGTGTATTTTACACTTACAGCACATCTCAGACTAGCCACATTTCAAGTGCACAATAGCCACACGTAGCTAGTGGCTCCCACACTGGACAGAGCAGCTCTAGGATCTTTCTTCTCCTGAGGAACTGAATGAATGAACTATAGTAGTTTAGAGTATAGGCTAGGTCGACTAGCTAGCTCTGGCACATGATCAGGTAATCTACCTCTCTCTGGGCCTCAGTTTCCTCTTCTGTAACATGGTGGCAAATACCACTACAAAAAAACCCATATGATTCTTGTGATTATTAAATGCACTGGTATATGTAAAATGCTTAAGAATTTAGCACATGGTATGTACTCAATAAATGTTAACCATTATCATTACTGAGCATGAACTATATGCTGGCGTTACTAGAGACTTTCCTGTTGTGTTATCTTTCCAAGTCACTTAATCTCCAGCTCACTTAACACCTGAAGAAGATGAGCTTTAGGGATATTGAGGGATTTATCCAAAGCCACTTAGTTAGAAAGTAGCAAATATGGAACTTGAACCCAGGTCTCATACTTCCAAGTCAGTTTTTCTCTATCCACTAGTCTCAGCTACCTCATGCCTATTGATCAGTTACACATACAGGATGTTTGGTAAATGTCCATATTTCTTAAAAAGAAATAGCTTTCACACAAGCAAGGATGATCAAAAGCAACTAAGGAATGATAACCAAAGAAACACAAATACAAACATGATGTCATTTCCACCTATCAGTTTGGCAAAGATTAAAATGGTTGATAACATCCAACGTGCACAGGATGTGTAGCATGAACATGCTCTATCAGACACTGTGGGAGAGTAAAGTGACACAACCTCTTTGGAAGGCAAATTTGGCAACAGCTATTGATATTTAAAATGAACTCTTTGACCTACCAATTTTATTTCTAGGAATTTACTCAAAGGACATGCTTGCAGAAGTACAAAAAAAAAAGGTACAAGGATGTTCATTACAACACTGATCTATTTACAAAAAACTGGTCACAATGTTAGTGACCTTTAACAGAAGAACCTATAAATTATGGTACATTCAAGCAAGAGCGGAATTTCCAGCCCTACTATGAAGAGAATCTCTAACACTGATATATAAAGATGTCCCAAATGGGAATTTTTGGTGGAAAAAAAGCAAATTGTCCAATAGTAGGTGTGTCATATAATCCTAATTAGTTCAAGTAAGAAGATATATGTATGAACAGAGACTCATATGCTGGGATCGCCACAATTTCTGGAAGGCTACAGGAGAAACCGTTAAGAGGGGCTCTCTTTAGGGAGTGGCAGTGGGACCGGACTTTTACATTACATTCTTTTATACTATTTGATGTTTTAGTCTTGAGAAAACATTACTTTTTAAAATAAATTGGGGGAAAAAAAGATGTAAGAAGAGTCTAGAACAGCTAAAGCCTTGATCAGATGGACATTATTTACCAAGCTAAAAAACTTGGACTTTTCCTCAAAGAATAATGGGGAGCCATATTACAGTTTTAATAGGGATATGATATGTTTAGCTTGGTGTTTTTAATATATGACACTGCCGAGCAGGGTGGCCTGGCAGCAAAGGCTACAGACAGTGGGATGCCGTGGCCTGGAAGGAGCGTCAACAGAAATAATGCAAAGAGAGAAGACATACAAGTCACTCGGAAATAAAAGGCGACCGAAGGCTGACTTCTAACTCTTGTGTTTCTCAGAGCGAGCCCAAAGGCCCATCTGTTTCAGAATCACCCGATGATCCAGGGAAAATGCAGATTTCGGGGCCCCACCTCAGGGCTCCAGGATGAAAACTCCCGAAGGTGGGGCCGAGCAATCCGCAACTTGAATGTGTCCGCACTAAAGTTGGAGAACCATAGTCTCACTCCCAGCTCTGATCTCTCCATATCAGCTCCGATCCTTCCGAATCGCAGACCGGGAGAGGTCATGCAGTGCACCCTCCATTGGGAGAAAAGGAGGCGCGGCAGGGGCCGGGCGTGGCCGCACTCGGGGCCGCCTCACCTGGTCGCACACGACCACGTCGAACTCCTCGTCGGCGAGGAACAGCACGTAGAGCGCCAGGAAGATCATGCGCAGGTAGGCGCACACGGCGGCGCCGCGGCCGCCCCAGCCCAGGCTGCGCGGCAGCCAGTCCCCGGCGCAGCGCACCGGCAGCTCGCGGCTCTCGGCGAAGCAGTGGCCCGGGTCGTAGTGCGCCGTCCAGATCTTCACGCTGCATCCGCGCGCCTGCAGCGCCAGCGCCGCGTCCAGCACCAGCCGCTCGGCGCCGCCTACGCCCAAGTCCGGGTGCAAGAACAGCACCGACGGGTTGGGACCCGGGTCCTCGTCTTGGCCCTGCTTCTCCGCCATAGCCCCGGAAGCCGCACCGGCGCCCCGCACCCTGAGGGGCTTCTGCGCATGCTCTTTCCCCCGGCTCTCCGCGGGCGGCCGCGGGGGCCGACCACGCCCCGCTACGCGTGCGTCTGTTAGGCCACATCAGCGCAAATCTGTGGGCGCCTAGTAATTGCCGGAGAAAATTTCTCGTCTGACCATGGTTATAGCCTCCCTTTGGTAGGGACTGGACTCTAGGGAGAACGCTGTGATCCAAAGGAAGGAGACAGAAGGTCTGTGCTTCCCACACAGCCGCTGACCAAGTCGCCTGTAACAAAATTTCTACAGGCATATAGTGGGACAACCCAGGCGTCCCTGGAGTCGGCGAGGACCCTGCCAGCAGGCCTGGGGGCGGGGCCTGAGCCCGTCTCTCCAGCCGCCGGTCCGTGGAGGGGTCCTCGCTTCCTGCCGTCAGTTTCAGGTCCTTGCCACTGTCCTGTCTCCAGCATGGTAAGGCGGCCCCAGCCTTCCCTCCTTGGTCCCCGCCTCTCCCAGCCGCCCTGACTCCGCCTGACGGCGTGCCCTCCTTCCGTGGCTCCCTCGCTTTCCCCAGCCTCCCGTGCAGGTGCGGTCTCGGCCATCAGGGCCTGGGGTCTGGGGCCGGCCGGCGGCGCTCACCCCTCTGTCTCCCTCTGTAGCCTGGTCCGACCCCCAGTGGGACTAGCGTGGGATCCTCTGGCCGCTCTCCCAGCAAAGCAGTGGCCGCCCGGGCGGCGGGCTCCACGGTCCGGCAGAGGTAAGGATCCTTTCGAACTCCTCGGTTGTGGGCTCGGAGAGGTGGGGCCTAAGAATTCGCTGGTCCTGAGAAGGAGCCCTCGGGCTATGGGGTTCACAAAGGCAAGATGAGCCGCAGGTGACGTGGCCGGAGGGAGAGTTAAAGAGTTTTTGGTCTTTTGTGTTTCAAGGGAGAGGCAACACTTTTTTGGTTTTGCTCAGTTCTGGGCACCACTCTTTAAAAAGGAAAGTTAAAGTGGAGTAGGTTCAGAGACAGTTTTGAGAAAACTGTCATTAAACTGATGTTTCTGGACCTGAACTCTGCACTTGTATTTCTATCTGGAGGTCCCATACACACTCCAATTTAACATGACTTGTCCGGCACAAAACTTAGTCTCTCCTTCCACCCCAGCTCCCTCCCCGCCTCCAGTTATATCTGCTTACTTCCATATGGCGCTGCTATAAACTTGTTCACCCAAAGCCAGAACTTCAATATCATCTTGGATTTTTCTTATGCTCTATCTCCAGTCATTTGCCAGACTTTAAATTACACATGAAAACCTTCTCATCAGTTCTTTCCTTTTCCATTTCTTCTGCCTCACTTTAGCCCTCAACTTCTCGCATCTAGACTTTTGCATTTTCTACTAACTTTTCTGCTCTTCAGGTCATTTGCACTCCAGTCCTTCCTCGGCTCTGATTCTGTCACACTTCTGCTTGGTTTCTCTGTTAGTTTGTGGTTGTTGAACTTTAAAAAAAACAAAAAAGGAATACCAGGGCACTTGGTGGTCTTTTCAGCCTAACTGCATCTGTGCTGTGATCCAGCAACAGTGAACTATTTCTGTTTTCTGAACTCACTAGACAGCCTCCCCCATTTCTATTTATTCTCCAGATTAAGCTCAGTGGTTATTTTCTCTTGAGGCGGTCCCTGACTCTGAAAGCAGCAGTAGCTACTAGTCTTCCCTTTTGTTCCTAAAGCATTTTGTTCATAATGTTGTAATAGCATTTATGTTTCCATATTTATCTCCTTCATTAGACTTGGACAGAAACTGCTCAAGTCATCTCTGTCCTACTGTAAGGCCTAACACGTAAATGATGAATAAATCAAAGAATCAAGCAACATTGTTGTTGTGGGGTTTTTGAAGGAACTAGTGGGGTTTTATCTAGAGAGGAAAAAGCCTTGAAGGGGGAAACCTGAAAACTATCTTTAATGATGTGAAGAGAGATGAGACTTTTATTGTTGACTAGAATAGGCAAATCTAAAACTGATGATTTGAACTTACATGAGACTGATTTCAGCTTAAAGAAATTCTAATAGAACTGTCAGAAATGGTAAGATTATCCTGAACGATTGTGAGTTCCCCGTGACCGAGATGTTCAAGGCTGGGATGGACCAGCTGGACAGTGTGTCAAGCTGTGGTTTAGGTTCCATGTGCTTCGAGTGCTGTCTCATTCCCACCCTGAATTGCAGAGATTCTTTGTGCTGGAGTGGAAAATATGTACAGTTCCTGTGGGAGTGGGTCTGGTTGATGAGAATTGGTAATACTGTGGTAGGGAAGCTTGGCCATCTGAGAACTTTTAAAGAAAAAAAGAGAAGTCATATACTTATCAAATGTAACTATGATAATGAATAACTTAATAAATAAAAAATAAGTGAAATGGAGAAACTTAAACATTTGAGGACAGATGCATCTTTTCAAGTTGTGGGTGTTGATGTCATCTTTTACGATCCACTGTGGCTGGGGCTAGTGTCACTAGACAGATCATGGTTGTATGTATTGAGTGTTCCCTTCTAGAATTTTGGCACTCTTCATGAGTGTAATGTAATAGGTATTGTCTGTCTAAGAATATATCCCTGCTTTGTAAGTCTGTATGAAAAAGTTGAAGCTAAGCGTCTAAGAAGTTGAAGATAATGCTTTGGATTATGTAGTTTGTAGATTTGCATTCTCTCTCCATGCTTAATAGAGTTAGTACCTTGGAGAAGAAATGGTATGGGATTTACCCTCAGGCTGGGGTTGAAGTCCTTGCTCTGCTTGATAAGTATAAAACGGAATTGCTATGAGGATGAAAGGGAGCAATAATGCCTTGTAAACTGTAAAGCTGTGAAGTGTTACACAGTGTTCAAACAGGATAAGACGGTGGAATAGCCAGGGATATTAAGATAATCATCAAATAGTCATTGAGGGAACATGCCAGACACCATTCCAGCTCTGAGGGTATATCTGTGAACAAGATAGGCAGGACCTCATGAACCTTATATTCCAGTGTGGGAGACTGTAAGCGAGGCAGATAAATAAATAATGTAATTTCAATACATTCAGTAAGGGCTGTGAAGAAAAATAAAGCTGGGTGGGGGATGGAGAGTGGTAGGGATAGGGTGTTCAGAGTAGGTGACATGAGTAGAGACCTGAAAGAAGCAAGGGAGCAAATCATGCAGTGGTCTGGGGAGGCACAGACTTACTGGACAAAAGGAATGGTCATGTGTAAAGACTCTAAGGTGGGAATGGCTTCTTCAGGGAGTAGCCAGAAGGCCGTCGTGTTAGAGCAAAGTACGAGAAAGGTCAGTTATGAAAACCGTCATGTTAAGGTATAGGAAGAGGGGGGCAGTTACACGGTGGCCAGAAAAAAGAGTAAAATGGACCCCAAATAGAAATTTAAGAAATTAAATTGGGCTCTGTTAACCTCTACCTACTTCCCAGTGGAGGAATGGGAGGTATTTTGAGTACATTTTGATATTTCTAGGGGCGCTGATTTTCAAATCCTCTTCTGTGTCTCATATGCCAGCAGCTGTAAGAAATCTTAAAAGAGGCCCGACTGATCCCTTCACAGCACCTGTAATTTCAGGAGACTTTGAAGACAGGAACTGGAGTAGAGGAGTTGTGGGAATAGTGGAAAGTGCGTGGGTCCTAGTCCTGGCTCAGCAGTGACGTACCGTGTCTACACTGGGCTTACTGTCTAGCTCAAGTTCCTTTTTATGAACAAGGAGGAAGATTTCAGGTACCTGTCCCACAGATTAAATGATGTGTATCTCTGTGTGTGAAAGTTCTTCTAAGTGTATGAATTACTCTGTAAATCCCTGTACAAGTATGTTTGCTGTTTACAATCAGTTTTCCTATAGAAACAGTCATACAAATGGGGTTATGAGTTCCCAGGCCACCACATAGCCCATAATTAACATGTTTGAAATAGAATCTTTGCAGTACAGTAGACCCAAATTGTTGTTTGACACAGATTGCTGGCAGAGTTCTAGCCTGAACACAGCTGTCTTTGCTGGGACCAGAACGGAACCAGGACTCCACCCCTCCACTGCACGCGGCAGAGCAAGCTCCCTGAGCTCTGGGCCAGTGTTTCTTGCCTTCGGAGTGTGGGATAAAGGCCATGGCAGGGCGAGGGGAGAATTAGGTCCAGAGTTGGAAGGGCAGTGAGAAGAGATGATGGTGATAGGGTTTTCACTTCTGGTTTCTTCCTATATGTCCTTCTCTTTTAAAAAATCCAGAATCAGCAGCCCACAGATTTGGAGTGGGATTTTAAGGGAGGGTATACTGGGATCTGGTTAATGGTGAGGGGCAGTGATGGCTCAGGGCTTTCCTTCTCTCTTCTACTTTCCTCTCACCTAGCATTCCTGAGTTGGGCTAAAGAAGATTCCTTATGACTTCTCTCACCACTTACTTCTTACTCTCGTGTTGTGCCACTCTAGCACTGGGGCGGGGCTGGGAGTGGAGTAGTGCCTCGTGGGAGGATAGTTGCTGGGTAGGGTTCCCAGTGACTGAGGGATTCTCCCAGAGAGGAGGGACAGGATTCCCTGGGCCTGTTCCTGCTCAATGGCGTAAGTGTTCTTTGGCTACTTCTGCATGCCAGGGCTGCCTGCATCACACAAGCCTTGATCCCCTTGTACTTTTTCACATCCTACCTCTCTGCCAGATATGTGATCAGTATATCAAAATAGTGAAAAGAGATTACAAAATAATTTTTTATAAAATGTATACTCTGTTTTGGGACCTGTATACAAGTAAAGCTTAATGTGTTTTGTCTCTTTTATAGCAGATACAGTAATTTTAAGACATATTTTAAGGTTGTCATCTTATAAGAGATTATATATTCAGGGCATTTTTAAGCAGGGGTTTATTACTTGACTTCACAAAAATATGTGTGAAGAGAAACTGAAATGCACTGTCCAAATGAGGTGCCCGTATGTGTGGGCAAGTGGATGGACTCTGGTGTCAGAACTGGGTCCACATCCCAGCTCGGCCCCTGCTGGCTATCTGGTCTCAGGCACTTCACCTTTTCTGAGCCTCATTTTCCTTATTTATAAAATGGAGGTGGCAACCACTTTTCAGGGTTATTGACTGCATTAGCATATGGCAGGTACTCAGTTCATGGTGGTTAGTTATCATGATCAGTGGGGGAAAAGCAAGAATTTGGAGGGGGGATACTAACAAAGAAAAAGATTTTTCTTTTTGTCAGTTCTTTAGCAATGTAATGGTAGCATGTTATAATGCTGTTATAAGGGTTTCCAAGAAAAGGCTGTTTATAACATTTTCCTGTTGCAGGAAAAATGCCAGCTGTGGAACAAGGAGTGCAGGCCGCACGACCTCAGCAGGCACTGGGGGGATGTGGCGATTCTACACGGAAGATTCACCTGGGCTCAAAGTGTAAGTGTTGGGAGCAGACCTTGTGTTTCTGTCCCGTATCTCAGAGCCGTCTGGCAGCACTCGCTCTGCCACCAGCGCTGCTTGCTTTGATGAGATTTACGATACACTAGAGCTTCATTTGTGCCAGGCGGGCTGGGTTTGGTTTGCCCATATATCAACTAATTAGTTTAGGGCCTGGAATGACATCTCTTCATGGATTGAGTGAAGGCAAGGGAAGAGCGTCATGTAGCTATGTCAAAATAAATGATGGGGACAGAGAGAACTGGAGGGAAAACTGCTCAGTTAGGTGAAATTGCGCTTGATTTGGTGTTCCCGTCCCACACTGAGAAATAGGAGAAGCCACTTGAATAGGAATTGGGTGATTTTTCAAAGCTCTCCTGGAGACGTAAGCTGATATCGTTACAGCCTAATGGAAGTTTCTCCATTCAGCTGTGTTACCAAAAGTTCTTTGGCCTCCTTGCCTTTGGTGAGTGGTGAGTACACCCCGGAGGGTGGGTGTATCACTTTCCAAGTCTCAGGCCTGGGAGGGCTCATGAGTTGATGGGAAATGGGCATCCAGGGGGCCTCTGTCCCCATGCCTTGCTCATTTCATTTTCTGTGGTTTCCGTTACTGTGTGGCAGACCTAATCCCACAGGTTTCTGATCACATAGGCTCCAGGACACCACTGCTTAGAACTGTTTCCTGACTAAACGCAGTGGCTGAAGTGTTAGCATAATGACAGCAGCTCTCATTTGCATGGCACCACAGGTTCAGAAGCTCAGGTTCAGAGAGGCAGAGTTACGAGTCAGACAAACAGCGAGAGCTGGAACCAGATGTTCTGACTGTTAAATTCCGTGCTCTTTCCATACTGCCTGTCTGGTAGAAAAGAGACAAGATCAGACTTATTTGGATTAGTTTAATTAACTTGACCAGCAACTTGGATTGCAAATTTAGTTTATGAAGACTTCCCTAGAATTCTTGAGACATGGTTTTATTTATTGATTGATTTCCTTTTTTTCTGTTAAGTTGAAAACTTGTAAGGTGAGAATGTATTTAGGAAGTAATTCTTGGGGTTGGGGATGTGTGAGTTGGCAGCTTCTGACAGCCTTTTGGTTTTTGCTAGAGGTAGTTTTTTTGATTATCTCAGAGAGCAAGTTTGAAGCCCCTTGCTCTTCAGGGTGTCCAGGGGACAGTTCTAAACCCTTCTCAAGAAGGTGGTAAACTCTGTTCTCCTGTGGGCACGTCTGACTTGGGCTTGCCCTGGGCTTTCTGCTGTTGTGCAGCCGGGCTTGCTTGCTGCTAGTGCGTGAGTCCTCCCAGAAATCGATAGAAGCTGTTCCTTGAAGCGTCCTGAACCACAGTCTCATCACACCAGAGAGAGAGGTTTGGTGAAGGGACACAGTGGGGAATTCTTATCCACACAGCCACATCCTGGAGCAGTCAGGCAGCATCTTAGAGCTTGTTGTTGGCTCTTCCTAGGAGTTTAGAATTTTTTTTTCAGGTTGATAATAATAGCATTTCCTGAAAGCCTACTATAAGCCTGCATTGTGTGGGTATTAATCTATTTAATACCTCAGCAACCCTATGGGAGAGGTACTGTGGTTATCCCCACTTTACAGATGAGGAAGCTGAGGCTTGGAGCAGGTAAGTCACGGGGCCACAGTCACAGCTAATAAGTGACAGAGGTGGTTTCCAGACTCTGCAGCACTTTGACTCTGAGAGCGGCTGTCCCAGCTCTGTGCTCTGTGGCTGATGTTACTGCAACGTTGCTTTAAGTCGGGGCGTATGATCAAGTGCAACATGGTGAAGATCTCTTCCCGTGTCCTTTTAAATTGCCGACTCCTATAAATGTACACATTTTGGAAGAACAAAATAGCGTGGCATGTACGTTGTGTGTTGTTTATTGTCCACCAGTGGACTCTGTTATCCTGCTACTCCACAGGGTTACTCCCATCCAAGTACTAACCAGGCCCGACCCTGCTTAGCTTCCGAGATCAGACGAGATCGGGCGCGTTCAGGGTGGTATGGCCGTAGACCACAGGGTTACTCCACGGCCTTGATGATTATAAAGCTTTCTGGGGTCTTTTCCATTGTCCCCTCCCCATTTGTATCTGGGAGGTGAAGTGAGACATCTTGAATTCTCCAAAACTGGTGTCGGCAAGGAGAATCAAAAAGGCGGGCCTGTAACGTTTCACTCAAGTCGACATTCACAGGTTGTGTAAAATCAAGTTCTCCCTTTAAGAAGTCCATATACTAATTCCCAACTTGAAAAACATTTGCTTTAGGGAAGCACTGATGAGTAAAATCTATTTCCTTCCTATAATAAACTCATAAATCAGACTTAGCACATGTTGCCTAAAATGTTTGCTCCTTAAAGACGGGAACCTTAAAGCAGTAAAATAAGCACTATGTGTGGAATCAGAAAACCTGAGTTCAAATGTCTCTTTTCCATTCTGGCTATGTGTTCTTAGGCAAGTAATAATTAATCTCCCCGAGCCTCAGTTCTCCTTATTTATAAAATGAGGTTAACGTTTGTTTCACCTGTGTCATGAGTTTGTTGATCAAATGGGATCATATATTTGAAAACACTCTGTAACTTATAATGTGACGTTCATCTTTGTATGACTTGTATATTGTGGTTAGACAATGAAGATTATCTTTAAGTAGATCTTAATTAATAGTTTGGTAATTGGATCATTTGTACTTAAAGAATTTGGGAAATTTTTCTTACTACTTTTTATTATGGAAAATATCAAATATGTGAAATTAGAGAGACTTGTGTCTCCAAGACATCAGATCATTTTATTTATACATTAGTATGTTGTACTAAAAGACAAGGATTCCTCCTTTCTAAATAACCACAGTGCTATCACCAAACCCTCAAAATACAATAATAATTTGGGAATATTTTAAATGATGTAAAGGATATTCTTGGATGAATCTTAGGTGCCCCCCCTTTTCCTCCTAGGCAGTCTTTGGTATTACAGATATAATGCTGTATTGTTACTAAAAGTAAGCATCCCTTCTCTTCTTCTTTGCAGTGGCCCTGTTCCAGTATTGGTTATGAGTCTTCTGTTCATCGCTTCTGTATTTATGTTGCACATTTGGGGCAAGTACACTCGTTCATAGATTCAGCTACATCCATCTGTCTGTCATCTGAAGAAGAAGGAAAAAAACCCAACATATCTTGGACCAAAAGCATAGTGATTTTCTGTTCATAAGAAAGAAATTTTCTGTAAGCTTACTGTTTTACAGGGAACTTAACAAGAATTGATTGTAAGGAATCAACTTTTTTCTATGGCTATATAAACTTTTTAATTCATTTATACCAAGGCTAATTGCTGATGCCTGACTGCTAGGGCCCTTACCTTAGTCTGTCTGCCTTTAGGTTTTCAAGTAAATATGTAGAAAACATGTCTTGTGGAGATTGTTTTCTTTGTTGGATCGCCAGTTCCTTACGTGACCATGTAAGACATTCAAATCCAAGATACTGTAATTGGTCTTGGCTTGTTTTCTTCTAGGTATTTCACTCCTGGTGATTATCGTGTAGGGTGTTCTGCGGTTTTTAAGGAGTGTGCCTATGACTCCATCAGGCAGATCTGTGTTCAGAGGCATCTGGTACCCAGGGGAGTAGTCATAGAAATCATAAACCAGAAATCTTGGATGAAATGTTTGCTCATCCTGTTCTTTGTCTCTAAAACCATAGATAATATTTTTGTCTCTTTTCTCTCCCTGTTCTTAATTATGTGAGTGTAGACCAGGAGTTTCCATCTGTTTATCACTTGTTGCTAAACCTTTTTTGAAAGAATTCATTTGATAAATTGGATTTATCAACTAAAATTTTGTTTTCATTTTGAAAATTAAAGACCTTTCTAATCAGAGTGAGATACCAGCATTTCTAAACTGAGTTGATATAATTCCAACCAAAAATAAAAATTTTTGAAGTTTCACTTAGCTTATGCTGCCTTTCTGGGTATACCTTCCTAGGGTAGACCCTAGGAAATAAGAGTAGCTCAAAGGTGCATACTCCAGGAGTCGAAGACACTGAGCCAGAATTTCTAAAGAGTAAGAGATCCATGTGAGTCCAGCAGAATCACGAAATGACAAAGAGGTGTATTAGTTAAAAGACAGATAACTTAAAAAATATCTTTCTCATAAAGTAAGCCTATTTAAAGAAAAAATTCCTAGAACAGTTAAGCAGTTTCACAAATGTTTTTCTTAAATCCTGGCTGTAAGGTAATTTTAGGTCCAAAGTACCCAATTTAAATGATGAAAGTATGTTATCTTTAAAAAAAGACTTCCTGGGGCAGTATATGGGTGACTGTGCTCATTTATATCCTAACGAATGCCAGATTATTGGGGAAACATGATGAAAAACTGATTCCCTTGGATCCTGGGAATTGCTTATTGCATGAAATAGGTTATCTTCAATTGAAATTCAGGGGGAAAAGTCTCCATTTCATTTGGAAGAAATTAAAGATGATAGTATCTATAATGGCATTTTTTTTTCTGATATTCAGGTTGATGGTACCAGTAACAGCTAAATCTGCTCCTTTGTCCAGAGTCTCGTTTTCTCTGGGGGAGATGCTGAAGCCACTTGGGGGTGCTCTTTGGTTGTGAGGGTACATTCTCTCCACTGCACAGAGCTGCCTGTTAGTCCCTTCTGCCTAGCAGTGGTCTCTAGTGGACTGATAGCTGAAAATCACTCAAGTTTTTGAGCTAGAGATTTATAAGAAAATGCTGGTTTTCAGTGGCAGAGCAAGGAGATGCTTCATTCAGCAGAAGGAAAATTGGAGGTTGTGCATAAAGATGTACAACATCTATTATGTAGCTGCTTTTGGCTGTGATGATACAATGCTAATACCATAGCTGAGAATGTTAGTGTTCAAGCTGTTCCTTTCTCTCTTTTTTTTTTTCCAATTTTTAAAAGTTATGAAATACACATAACATAAAATGTACCATCTTAACCATTTTTAAATGTGCAGGTCAGTGGTATGAAGTACTTTCATATTTTTTTGCAACTGTCACCACTATCCATCTCCAGAACTTTTTTTTTTTTTTTTTTTTTTTTTGTGAGGAGATCAGCCCTGTGCTAACATCTGCCAATCCTCTTTTTTCTTTTTGCTGAGGAAGACTGGCCCTGGGCTAACATCCATGCCCATCTTCCTCCACTTTATATGGGACGCTGCCACAGCATGGCCTGCCAAGCAGTGCATCGGTGCGCGCCCAGCGAACCCTGGGCCGCTGCAGTGGAGCACGCACACTCAACCGCTTGTGCCACTGGGCCGGCCCCTCCAGAACTCTTTGATCTTGCAAAACTAAAACTCTAAACCCACTAAACAATAACTCCCTTCCTCCACTCCCCTCAAGCCTTGGCAACCGCCCTTCTACTTTCTCTTTCCATGAATTTGACTAAGTCCCTCATATGAGTGGAATTGTACAGTATTTTCTCCTTTTTGTGCCTGACTTATTCCACTTAGCATAATGTCCTCAAGATTTATCCATGTTATGGCATATGTCAGAATTTCCTTCCTTTTTAAGACTGAATAATATTCCATTGACTGTATATGCCATGTTTTGTGTTCCTTTTAAATAGGGATTCCCACACTTTGGTTCCTGAGCCTTAGGGGACCGTGAGCCATTTCTAGTAATTCCGAAAGCCTAACAAACTAGACCTTTATCTGAGTCATGGACACCTTAGCCCAAGGAATCCTCAAGCTCCCTTGACAATGGGCTATAATTCTAGCCACGTCTGAGTGGACACAAGCCAGCACGTGCTGAGCAGAAGCTCTAAGTGGTTAAACTGGTGAAGTGAATTACGTTATAATCACAATTTGGGCTGAGCCTTTTAAGTCATTGGAGAAAAACCGTATTAGGGAAAGGTCCCAAGAGTCCCTGTGACTAGTGGGATGGAAAGACTGGGATTTCTGGGCCCAAGCAGTGTCCTGAACATGTCCAGTAGAGAAGTAAATGAGGAGAGAGCTGTTCCTGGGAGAGGTCAAACATACCGTAGCTTCTGTTTTCACACCTGTCCTAGTCTAGACTCCAGTTTTTTTCCAGCTGCTAATGTCCTCATAGGGAGAATTGAAGGAGACATTCTGAAATCATGCAAATATTGGCATCAAGTTAAAATGGCTGAAAATGTCTACAAGGCTGGCTTCATTCAACAGAAAATACAGTATGTGGAGTTGCTACATGCATGGCGCCATCCTCCCGATTCCCTCAGAGCTGCCTCTTGGGGAGCTCCAGGGCTGTATCTCCCCTCCCCTCCAATGCTGCAGGGGAAGGTTCAGGCCAGCACCAAGTTTGAGTCTTTGGGTGCACGACTAGGATTTCCAAACTTACTGCGCTCACTACCCACCTTCCAGGCTTGGAAGTGTTTCTGACCTGGGTTCACCTGCTGGCCCTGCAATTTGCTAGTTGTATGATCATGGGTGACTCATTTCCTTTCTGTTGGTCTCGTTTTTCTTATGTGTAAATGACTGTGGATATAATTCCCACCAAATAGAATTAAATGAGAAGAAAGATCCATGAATGCTTTGTTAATTAGCTAACAGTTAATAAGTGCTTATTCTCAATAATTTAAGATGTAGGTTTCTTTCTTTTTTTTTTTTTTTGTGAGGAAGATCAGCCCTGAGCTAACATCCATGCTAATCCTCCTCTTTTTGCTGAGGAAGACTGGCTCTGAGCTAACATCTGTTGCCAATCCTCCTCCTTTTTTCCCCCAAAGCCCCAGTAGAGAGTTGTATGTCACAGTTGCACATCCTTCTACTTGCTGTATGTGGGACGCGGCCTCAGCATGGCTGGAGAAGCGGTGCGTCGGTGCGCGCCCGGGATCCGAACCCCGGGCCGCCAGCAGCGGAGCGCGCGCACCTAACCGCTAAGCCACGCGCCGGCTCTGGATGTAGGTTTCTTGTTAACACTCTAATGAGGAATTTACTGTTTGCCCCATTTTACATAAGAGGAAACCGAAGCTTAAGCCACTCGGCTTGTTATGTGGAAGAGTTGGGATTTAACTCCAGATCTCTGACTCACCCACCACAGTCACATAGATGAGCTTATCAACTATTCCAGTGAGGGCGGGGGAAGGGTGTCACAACAGTAGAGCTTTAAAAAATAACAGGATTCCCAGAAACTGCCACGCTGTTATTGGGTGTACTTCAGGCATTACATAGCTTTAGTTTGAGGTTTTCAGTTCTGCAGGATTGGTTTCTCCGTTTCAGTCCTGAACTTTGTTCGTTCTCTGGAACTCTTGTGTTTATAGAGAAAGCATAGTGTTTATTCATTCAACAAACATTTCCTGATCACTGTGTGCCATGCCCTTCTATTGGGGTTTTAGAAATGACCTGGTGAGGTCTCTCATAGCTTGACAGGGCTGTGCATTTGGATGCTAGGATCCCAGTCTCATCTGGGACTACAAGTTCTAAATAGCTATGTGATTACGGAGAAACCGGACAGGGAGCCTTCTCAAGGTCCCCTCAGCTATTGGTGAAATCAGTAGTTGGGACGACAGTTTAAGAACTAGTATGCTCATGGTGTGTGGGCAGTGGTGCTAGGGATTGCGAAACTGGCACTGCCTCCGGGAAATCCACACTGTGTGGTCACTTCTCCGACGGAGGAAAACTAGGGAGCCCTGGGATCCCTAGCTGGAAGGGCTGAGAGTTCACTGCGTCCTCCCCATTGTACCACAGAGGACTGGGGCTCAGAGAGAAGGGGCTTGCCCAAGATCGTGCAGCAAGGCTGTAGCGGAGCAGATGCCAGAACGAAGGTTCCTGCTTCCCTGCTGGGGCTCCTTCCGGGAACTGTGCCGTGCGCCCTGTGTTGAGCCTCTGCATAAGCCAGCCGACCTCTCTCTAGAGGCCAGCCTCTGGAACCAGATAAACCGGGGGGTGGGCTTCGATTAGTGGGCGGTGTTTATCAAAGGGGGAGGAGTAAAGGCTGCAAGGTTAGCTAGGAAAAATAAAGTGAATCATGCTAGTAAATCTAGGAGAAAGCCAGCAGGTTCATGAGACTGCGTGGAGGGGCAGAGTAGGGAGAAGCAGCCGGCAGAGCGGCACTGTTGGGCATTCTTGTGACCACAAATGTTAGGTGAGCCAAGAACACAGTGAACTGACCCAGTAGGGTTAAGGTCAAGGCTAAACTGTTTAAATACTGTTCCTGGTTGCTCTGGCAACTAGGTCTCTTCCCCATGCTAAAGACGTTATAATAAAATCAAACATTAACTAAACAGGAATCAAAGGTGTAGTCATACGTAGTCTAGATCACGCCATTTTGGGGAAAGGTCTCGAAGTTTGTGCCTCAGAAAGAAATGGAGACATGAGGGAAAGAA